GAAGAGGCATGCAGAAGGATGGAGAGAAGTTTGATGAATGAGAAACAAAAGATAATATGGAGATCAATTCACCAAGAGATGATGGTATATTTTTATTTTGTACGAATGCTATGTACCTATATTAAATTGGTTTATTCGTTAAAATCTAATGGCTAAATTTTTGACTTTAAGATAACATTGAAAATACATATTTTTTAGAGAGAAGTGACCAATAGGGCTGAGGGAGCTTTTATGAAAGAAAAACTAAAGAAAATATGGACATCAGTTTATCAAGAAATGATGGTAATTATTTTTTTTTACAACTTCTAAGTATCTTATTAATGGTTTATTCTTTCAAGTCTTGAAGGTTAAATTTTTTTGCTTTTGAATATAAAATTGGAATACACATTTTTTAGAGAGAGGTTTCAAGTACAAATGAGAGAACATTGATCAAAGAAATATTAAAGACAATTTGGACATCAATTCACAAAGAGATGATGGTATATTTTATTTTTTAAAACTTCTAAGTACATGTATCTATTTAATGGTCTATTCTTTGAAATCTTGAAGGCTAAATTAAAGGCTAAATTTTTGGCTCTTTAAGAACACTGAATTACATTGTTGACACATTTTTAGAGTGAGGTATCCAGAAGAAATGAGAGGAAATTGTTGAAAGAGGAACTAAAGAAAAGATGGACAGGAATTCATGCAGAGATGATGGTAATTTTTTTTTTTTGTACTATTGTCATTTACATAATTTATGGTTCATTCTTTGAAATCTTGAAGGCTTAATTTTTAGCTTTTAGATATTAACATTAAAATACATGCATATGAATTGTTTTGTTATGCAAATGGGGATTGTGTTTTTCAGGAGGTGTTATCAGATAGAATGAGGATGCAACTTTTAAAAAGAAAACGAAGGACAATGCACTTGGAACTTATGGTAAGTTATTTGGCAATTTAATATTCAGTGCTTATGTATTTCATGTTTTGTAAGGTAATTAAGAAATTGTATGAAATTATGTTAAAATTAAATTAATAATGAGAGAGAGAGAGAGAGAGAGAGAGAGAGAGAGAGAGAGAGAGAGAGAGAGAGAGAGGAACACAAAAATGTAAGCCCTGTTTACCAAAAGTTGATTTTATTTTTTCACATACCTTCCTTGAATTTTTAGGTGGGGGGTACTCAGAAGTACTCTCTGATTTTGTATAATAAGTTGCATTTGATAAGATATGATGATATTTTTGATACAGGCAGTTTGGTTCAGGATGGAATATAAAAAAGAAATGCAACAAATGAAAGAATTAGTAAGGAAGGTACGTATTAAACCATATATAGCTTAAAATGTAGAAATTTAATATGTAAAATGTTTAAACCAAATTTAAGTATAAGTTGTACTTTCCAACTGTCAAATGGTATGTGATGTAAAAGAAGAAAAATGTTTAAAAGGAGTGAAATATTTCAGTGATTTTTATTTCATCATTCTAATTTTTTTGAGGTATGGGCTGATTATAAATAGGTTAATCAATGCTTGCAAATGCAAGTGTTTGAATATATGAATGCACACATTTAATCATTAGTTTTTTGATTGTTTTCTTTTTTTCAGGAAGCTGAAGATGCCAGAAGAGAAAAACTTATTAATGATAAGAAATTAGACATGATGAAATCTATTGAGAAAGATGTAAGTTGTATTATTTTTTCAGAAGTTTATAAAGTTAATTTCTATTGTACACATCTCAGTGAATCTACATATAATACACATACTTATGTCATTTAGTAATTTAACTACCCCCCACCATCATGTTATGTAAGTGGTCCAACATCTCATCGACAGGTCCAACATCTCAATCCCCGGTCAAACACAGATTTTTTTTATGACCGCTCAGTAAAAACACATTGAAAATTTTAGACTTTCATTAGTATCAATTTTATTTTAAAGGTATAAAAAGAATTTTGATATCTTTTATTGTGTGTAATGATATATTAAGGCAAATCCTTTGTGTTACAGGACACCTGCAATTTTGGCCAAAAGGATAAACATGTACCACAATCTGATGAAATTGAAACTTTCGTCCCCAGGGCATTATTTCTATTCAACATAGAAACGTTTAAAATGGATTCAAAGGTAAGGTATTGGCAGATTATTTTTATACATTGAAAAGTAATAAGTTTTGGGTTTTTTTTCTTCAAAAATTCTTTTGATTATTCAAATCAACTTTTAGTCTCAGATAGCTGGGAAATCAAATTTACTATTTGGCATTTTAGTTTTTTTTATATAATCAAAAAATATTTCTTGATAATGAGTTTTTTTTTTTTACAATGCTTTGAAATAAAAAGGAGTTCCTACTAAATTATTTTTTTTTTCTCATTGCAGCATGTTGAGGTGCCACAGGAAAGTAGCAGTTCTCAGAGTGCAATAAAGGAATGCACACCCATTGTAGATGAGGTAGGTTAAATACATTTACAATCATAATTACAATTATTTTCCTTTATTAAAATTATCTTGTGACAAGAGGTGTGTCTTGACCTTGTAACAAGGTCATTCTGGACAAGGTCGAAGCACATGAAAGAATAAATTATTGTTCTAGCCAAAACATTGAAAAAGAGAAATATAAGAAACTAATGCTATCTTTTGAAGAAGTGAAGGTTGTTTCCCAATGTGATTCAAGGGAAGGTCATAACTCTAAGTGTTTTTGATCAGGTGATGCATAAAAATCATACAACATGGTCATTGGAAAAGGTCAAGGTCAATAGCATGAATTATTTTAAAGTCTTGTCTTTAACAATTCTTTTTATGAATGAACTTTAATCAAAAGATCATACTTGCTCTCAGTGCTTATTATGATCATAGGACATTTCACTGCCCTAGTCTACAGCAAAGTTAAGACAAGGTTACAGAGTTAAAAGAGCCAAATCTTGTACCTCAAAATTGCACATTTCTACTGGTAAAAATTTTGTATAGGAGGGTCATCAGGAGTTCATCCAGTTCACAGTGGTTCCTTAGTATCCAAATGTTTGATCAGTATGTCAAGGTCACTTGACTTGAGAGTTCAGAATTTGGGTCATGAGATTTGGATGCAAGGACATTGGATGGTCATATTTTTTATGCTGAACACCAAGTTCACCAACAATCAGAAGTGTTATAATCTTTATACATTACATCTACTTAAAAATCAGACCATGGAAAGAGTCTCTTTAAACTATTAATAATAAGAATGACTTATATGGAGTTGCTGTATTTGTCAGATCAGGAAAATTTTAGTTAAAACCTTTAAATGTCTAAATTACCATAAATTATGTGAATGAAATTTCAAGAAAGTTGATTCTGAAAGCTTGCAAGATTTATAACTGAATGTTCCTTTTTTCCAGAGGTCCACCAGTTTGCCAAAGAAGAAAACTCTTCGAACAAAAATTAAAAAGTTCTTCGGATTTAGATAAAAAATGGGAGCAGACATGATTTTGGGACACAAAGGAATGTGCAATTTTCGATTCTGTGGGACTATATTTGGAAATTCATGCATAAACTTAAACATTGATAAACTATTTCAGGAGAAGAGTCATTATAATTTTTCATTCCATGTTAAATCATTAATTAAACTAAACAGTGACATGACATTTCTTGTTTTTCTTTTGTTCAGATGAATTCTACTTAATTTTAAATGCATGTGTTAATCAGATTAAGTGTTAAATACAGGAAACCAAAGGAACACACATTTACTTATAACTTAATCTAGATAAAGAAAGGAACCTGATGCTTATATGATTTTCGATTTTGTAATTTATCTTCAATAATTTAAAAATACTGCAATACGAGATCCAACAGCCTTAAAAGTTACCTGAGTATAATGCATCAGAACAACAATTTAGAGGATCTACAGATGTATGAAATAAACTTATAGATGAAGCTTTGTTGCCTGCGAGAGAAATAGGATGATCAGAACAAATAAAATACTAGTAATTACACAGTAACAACTCATAAAATTTTACTTGCCTCCATTATGTTGTTTTCTTATTTTTAACACTGCTAATTTTCATGCGAAGAAAGTGATTTCTAGCCCTACTGGTCAGAAGAGCTTCTGCTTTGGTAATGTGTCCATCATCCATCATTCTGTATCTCCATCTACATAATTTTTAAAATGCTTCTCCTCTTACAAGTTTGGTCCGATTCTGGAGAGTAGATGAAAAATAACTGAGTAGATGCCTTTGAATCTTCAATAAATACATCTTTTACCAATAAATGGTGGAAAAAAATTGACATTTCTCTATTTCATAAGCTCTGTGTAGCTACAAAAGTAGCCTGATATAAACGTTTGGTTTAAATTACCTGTTTTCAAAACTGCGGATTGAAATATTGACAAAGTGCCCATTATATTCATTGCAATCTTAGAATCTACTTGTTGAACTCCCACCAAATCTATAGATTGGGTAGCATTTTGAATGAATGTCAAAGAAAATTGAATGTCAAAATCAAATTAAAAGAAGTTTGTTTATCTTAATTTATTCTAACTCTAGTCCAAGTCATATTGTGTTTGAAATGCTACTAATTAAAATAAAACAATAAACACAAATCATTGCAAAATACACATAATTTTTCAAACAAAAAATGTTTTTAACTTATGACTAAATCTATATTTAAACAAAACTTAAGAATATTTTTCAACACCTAGATATTTCTTATTCATAAATATCCACAAGAAGGTATTTAACCTCCTTTCTGTGCCAAGAAAATTGCCAGGATCAGGGACTTAGTAATGTGACATCATGGAGTTGACAGAGACGTCAGTAGACATCAGGGGATAGACAGTGGTAGCAAGTGCAAAAGCAGAGATCGTCAGAGAGTAGACAGTGGTAACAGGTGCAAAGCAGGGGTCCTCAAGGAGTAAACAGGGGGCTACAGTCGGGGTACGTCAGGGGTAGAAAGTGGTTACAGGGGCAAAAGTCAGGGTACGTCAGGGAGTAGAAAGTGTAGTCAGGGATAACGACAAGGATTCTTTGGAGAATGTCACATGTTTCAGGGAGAGATAGGAAAATGTCAGGGACTGACACAGGAACGTCAGGGGATTTATTGGGATATTTGCGGAGAGAGCTATCACGGTAGTGTTAAGGACCTCAAATCTATTTTAGAGTGATGAACCTGGTGTCTCTGATTATTAAACTTTGATGAGTGGTCTGTCACACTTATCTACAATTCAGTATAATCTACTTGTATGCAGTCTAACTGAAAATGGATCAAAACTAAAATGAATGTAATGACATTTGGAAGAATTTTTTTTCTTAGATGGCGACGCTCTTTTTCTGAATTGATAATCGTACAAAATATATAACACCGAAATTTCAAGAAAATTATCATTAAAAAGTTCAATATTAAATTGAAAAAAAAAGCAAATCAGGAGGAAGGGAAACACAGTCATCCAAAACATCAGATATGAGAAAAAGCGCAACGAATGAGGTATTTAGCTGGTCACAGCCATCCTGGGGCTCTCTGTCATGATCTGATAAACGAAAAATTCCACAGATAATTCGGTGTAAAATCATGTCCTGCCAATTTGATTGAAATATATAAGTCAACACTCGGCTAAATGATAGATTATCCTTGCTGACAAGGTCATTGTATTGATAGTAGAATTTGCCAAGTTGAAAATAAAGGAGATTGTTGGTTTCCTTGTTTTATCAACTTATTTGTCAGTCGCTTGACTTGTATCCATAACTGTTCCTACTTGAGCACATCAGTATTTACTCTTCGGTTCATGCCATCCAAACTATACTAATAGAGCGGTATCCTATAACCTTGCAAGAAGAATTTGCATTATTGTTAGTGAAGAAAATACAAGAAAATGCTCTCCAGGAGTTGAAAAAAATATAGTACAACGTAATTATCTAATAAAACTTATGAATTACGGTATTTTAAAAAAGCACGGTTGACAGCGCATTTATGATTCATGCGAATTGGTTTTTAAAATAGAATACCTTGGTCAAAATCTTTGAATTCTGTCAATTTTTCTTAGAATTTTTGTACAACGTATCATATTACGGTATTTAAAGCACTGGACGCCTTGATTTGGCTAAAAATAAATATTTTAGAGACAAAATACCGGGTGATGAAATCAGATTATTCGGAATATAGAATGACATATTTTTTTTTAACTTTTAAGTTTTTTTAAGGCTCGAGTATTTATGGGTTAGGTAGGTAGGTTTTTGAAAGATGGGTGAACAGTAAACAGAGAAAAACTTGGAATGGTCTTATTTCCAATGTGTGACATAATATCAGTGACATATTTTAATCTGAAATTCTATATAGAATGACATATTTTTTTTTTACTTTTAAGTTTTTTTAAGGCTCGAGTATTTATGGGTTAGGTAGGTAGGTTTTTGAAAGATGGGTGCATGAACAGCAAACAGAGAAAAACTTGGAATGGTCTTATTTCCAATGTGTGACATAATATCAGTGACATATTTTAATCTGAAATCCGACATGTATTATCGTAGATACTATAGTACGTTGTAAATTTTGGTTGCCCTTTCAAAAACGATATACTGTGTGCCTGGAAATAAGAATAACCCTACTGGCACTCGACAGTGCACCATAGATAAGAATAGACAAAGACCTACAACTGAACAATGACTGTCATATGGTTTGCTTTTTTCTTGACAATATGTTTGCCAAGAACTCGTGCAAACAAGGATATCGAAACTGAATTAAATGAAATTCGGAAAGAAATTCGCGAGTTGCGAATGGAAAACCAAGCACTGGGGATCATTGTAAAGCGCCAAGAAAATGAGATTCGCGAACTACATGTACGGATTGAGAACCAAGACCCGAGAAATGATCTGGACAAAACGAAAGGATCTCCATCTGATCCAAATGAAATGAGCGGTAAATATTTGTTCAATTATCTCCATATATATTACCAAATACGTACATGCATCTAGTTTGTATTATAATAAGGGAGATTAAGTATATATCCGAGAATTTTTCACACGTATAGAGACGACACCATATATATCCCAAATCACTATTTTGCAAGAGTACAGAGTGATAAATAAGTCAATAACCACTAAATAATTTAATGGGTACAATTATTTATTCAACAAAAATTGAAATCCAGTCACAGTTTACTAAATACAGCCATTATTCAGTCGTATTTGTGGAGAAAGCGAACGACAATCCATCGTTTGTTTACATCGGAAGCCATTTTGCAGCAATGCATGACGGAGCCAAAGACTTCTTTTTTCGAGTTCACGCCGTTTTTGGAGTTCGTCTAGACTGATATAAGGCTTCCATCTTCCCAAGTCAAGAGTTTCTGATCCGCTCCGCTCCACATAAATGTTTATGTGGAGCGGAGCGGATCAGAAACTCTTGACTTGGGAAGATGGGGTTTATGTGGAGCGGAGCGGATCAGAAACTCTTGACTTGGGAAGATGATAAGGCTTCAAATATTGACCTTTACTCGGCACTCAGGGCCACTGAGCATGCAGTGAGGAATCTTTATCATGCCAAAGTCTGTCTGATAAGGGACCTTGGTTTTTAAGGTCTCATCCGAAGCCCCCGCAACTTTCATCTCAACTGCCGAGCTCACGGCGAAAGAACAGTTGCTATTTTATCAGCAATCGGCAATCCTCGGCTGACTCCGCTACGCTCCATTCAATCGGCAATCCTCGGCTGACTCCGCTACGCTCCATTCAAACCTCGGATGTGATTAGTGGAGGAATACGCATCAGATCCTTACATTTCTCCGCCGGAAACTGCCTTATCACTCATTTCATATTTCGCTCCGCACAACGTTCTTTGAAAATGTTTCTTAATTTGTGGAATTATTTATCGTAAAGAGGTTTTGATTACAAACTCGTGTTAGTAGGCTTTGAAAGCAAGAAAAAATGTTGAGTGTCCCACAAAATAACGCCGATTTCAAATGTATGACATTTGAAAGGAATTCAAATAAGATCACATGACTGAATCAGCAAGATGGTAATTCACCGTTGACGTCCGAGGTTATGTGCGAGGTACGAGTCATCCGAGTGTTTTATCAGTCGTGGCTGAGATTCGAACTCACGACCTCCCGATAAAGGGAGATGGTTGGTTTCAATTTCTCTAACAGATCGTATAATGCATGCAGATATGACGTCTAACATTTATATTTTGTAGAGCCAAAAATTATATTTTGTAGAACCATCTTCTATCAGCAATAGAAAGAGACTAGTTGGTACTAACAGTCCAATAGCGTTCTACGCCTACATGTCAAAGCCAGAACAAAATCCAAGCAATCATCATATGGTCATTTTTGACGTCATTAAAACAAATGTTGGTGGGGGGTACAATGGGCATAGTGGGATGTTCACAGCTCCTGTTGCAGGGATTTACGTTTTTACATGGACTATCTACACTGGTAACCACGGTAGATGTGGATTTGGAATTTACGTCAACGACAATATAATGGGTAGCACGTTTGGAGAAACTGATGACGTTGCTGGAGATTATGATTCTGATTCGGGGACTATAGCTGTAGCATTGAATGCGCATGACGATGTTTACATTCGAACACTCGAGGCTTGTACTACCTTTATAGAAAGCATTCGTGTGAACACGAGAACCACATTTGCTGGATGGAAACTCAACTAATACAACGTTCCCGTGAATTGATTTTGTGTGTGTGTGTGTGTGGGGGGGGGGGGGGATTTCAAGAGCTTAATATTGGATTAAATAAACAAACATTATATGAGTGTGCAGATCTCTCTTATCATTCAAATTTCTTTCTTTTCCTTCAACTAAAGTGTCAATATTGGAAATTATATATACGAGAGAGTTATCACTTTATTTAGTTTATTACATTAATACTTAACTCAGGCCCACTGCATACACTCATGATCGAACATTATAGTGCAATTGTTGAAGTACACTGCATACACCCAAAAGGGGGAAGAAGGAGAGATAAGATAATCCGAACATCAGGAGTTCGCGTACCTATCGATTTTAACGAAATGTTCAGTAAATGAAAGAAAAAAAAACATAATACCTATAATATAATAATAACAATAATTATATGTGCTCCTTGTCATAATCGAAATAAAACCGACAAAAAATCCAAAAGACAACTCAGTTTATAAAATAATAATGACCTGACAATTCGTCTGAAAATGTTCAACAGCTTTTGACTTTGTGATAGATTGTAATTGCTGAAAAGGTTATTGTATCTTCAATAGAACTTGCAAAAAGATGACTTTAAACAAATCTTTACGTATTCTTGTTTCATCAACTTGTTTGTCAATAGGTTGCCTCGTTTTAGAAATTATTCGTACGACCTAAAAATAAATAATCGGACTAGAAAAAAAAAATAGCCACCCCTCTCAGAATCACACGGTCGCTCCAAACAAAAATTGTTGACGTTTAGTTTTTTTCGTGTGCCTAGGTACGAAAGCCTTTTAGGATCAATCTAGAGAGAAAAAAATTTAAAGGCGTTATAACGCCTTTGGAAAAGGCGTTATTACGCCTTTCCATTCTAAAAGGCGTTATTTCGCCTTCCAAAAGGCGTTATTACGCCTTTCTAAAACGCCTTATTACGCCTTTTGAAAAGGCGTTATTACGCCTTTCTAAAAGGTGTTATTACGCCTTTCCAAAAGGCGTTATTACGCCTTTCTAAAACGCGTTATTACGCCTTTTGAAAAGGCGCTATTACGCCTTTTTAAAACGCGTTATTACGCCTTTCTAATTATTTTGAATACCTGACTAAACATATTTAGCCCAACCGAGGGGAGGGGTGGGGGTGCAGAAATCTTACCTTTGGGACATGAGTTTTACAATTTGATTTAGGACTAATTTCTCAAAAAATAATTGAAACAGATAATAATTAGATCTCCAGGAAGAAAGATTTTTAAATGCGTCATATATTTTCAATGTTGAACCAACTAAGTCCTTCTCTACACACCTCTACCAAGGATCATTGACTTCAATTGCTCATTATACCTATGCAAATAGTTTGCCTGCTTTTTTCCAAGAAGAGAGAAAAATATCTTCGAATGCCATAATATGGAACGCCGTCACTGCCTTATAGCAGAACACTACTATTGCATTGTGTCAACCATCCATTACATTATGTCAACTCTTTATGACATTAACCCACACTACTATTGCATTGTGTCAACCTTCCAGTACATTATGTCAACTCTTTATGACATTAACCCACACTACTATTGCATTGTGTCAACCTTCCATTACATTATGTCAACTCTTTATGACATTAACCCACACTACTATTGCATCGTGTTAACTTTCCTTTACATTATGTCAACACTTTATGACATTTACACATAATACAATTATATTTCGTCAACTTGCATTTCGTTATGTTTACTTTTCATGAGATCTTAGTTTTTAAGCGGTTAGCTAGCTAACCGCTTTATGGCATGGGCTCCAAAAAACCGGAAACTTCCATAAGGCGCTACCTATCGACATCGCTTTATGGCACGTAACCTTATCCTTCTGCAACCAAAACCGGAAATTTCCACAAGGCGCTACCTATCGACAACGGTAACTTCAGCAAAGCGCTTCCTATGATTTGTATACTGTTGGCGTAATACGCCCCCTGGTGAGAGATTGACAATATGCTGTGTATGAAGAGTGTCTATTATAACAATTATATCGAATTCTTATTTAAGTATTTACCAAAGCATTGACAATACTTAAAACAATAACTTCAAAGAACTGAGAATTTGGTCCTTATTACATGTACATCGTGCGATCGCGATTTATAGCAACTGTTAGTTTATTTTTGAAAGTTGAACGATACGGTTAATTATATAGCACGTTGAAGGTTATTACAGACTGCAAAAACATCAGCAAATCTCTCGATCGAGTTTGATTTTCCTTGCCAAAGTATTAAGAAACACCATTTATTAAGTTAAGTAATACCTGAAAAACGCTGTTACAAAAACACCGAATACATCTGTAAGGTTTACACTTTTTGTAACGTTTTTATGGAAACAATAGGATTACCTCCACAATGAAACGTTTGTTTTCTTCTCTTTTCTTCTCTGTGTAATAAACAGATTATAAAAGCTCTGCTTCCAGGGCTAAATTCTCTACCCGTCTTTGATAATTTATTACAAACGATCATAAGGGATCACTTACTTTTAGTTTTGAAAAAAAATAATGGGGCACTTAAAGTAGTAAAATTAATTTTGAAAAAAAAATGGATAAATATATATTAATCTTAATCGGCATTGTGATCCTCTTCTAAAAATCAACCGACATTATTATTCACAGAAGAATGAGGTATGAAAAATCTTGGCAATTAGCAAAAATTTAAAATATATACTAATGCTTATTTATAAGTTTTGAAAATTTGATCAATTCCTAGGGAACGTATTATTAGCTGTGAAAATACTTTTTAAATTTGAATTTATCCAATTTGTCGATTATTATTTTGAGCGTTTGAGAAGAATTAAATTAAAACACAGGTGCTTAGAGGCACATTAATAGAAAAAAAACAGTGTATATTGTTTAACCGACATATTGAAGAAAATGACACTGATAACTTCTTAAGTTACACTGACTTTTAGTGTACATTTGAATTTTTAAATACTAGTATTGATTGATTAGACTACTTTCCTTTTAACATGTTTTATTTGAGAACAATATTGCATATAGAGTATATGGCAAATGCACATTATATGTCCTTATCTAGACATATTGTGAAGACTTCTTTTAAATGATTCTCATATACCATTTAATTTATTCGAACATTTACTTGTTTGAAAAGTCAATAAAGTACATTTCATAAAGCTTGATAATCTTGTTTACTCGCCAGTCATCCCGTAGAAGTAGTAGTTCATAATATTTCTAAACGGAAGTATCTGTATCAAAATACAGAATGATCAATGATCGATTTAAGAAGAAAAACTGACTCCTGAAAGTTCAAGAGGTGGGATCCGTTGCCTAGAAGAAGTAAGCATCCCTCGTTGACAGGTTACACTCGCGGTGAGCATACACATCTGGAGCTCTCTGATATCAATTCATTTACAAAGTCTCTGCTCAGCCATCCTTTTTTCTCTGACTAGCCAGCTGTAGATCTACACTACTCCAAATCCATTAATCTAAAGAATTTAACTTGTCATTTTTTTAGTTGTTTGCTATAGTAGGCTTTACAATTACCTAATTTCAGATTCAATAGAGCATGAAAGACATTAAATTTTCAACATCAACATAATTGTTTTAATCCAGAGAACGATTGGGTGCCACCAAGAGAGAAGTTTTAAAAATGCACGTCCTGTCTTTCAAACTGACGAAATCTCATGTTTGAATTTTGAAACATGTTTTCAGGTATTACTTAACTTAATAAATGGTGTTTCTTAATACTTTGGCAAGGAAAATCAAACTCGATCGAGAGATTTGCTGATGTTTTTGCAGTCTGTAATAACCTTCAACCTGCTGTATAATTAACCGTATCGTTCAACTTTCAAAAATAAACTAACAGTTGTTATAAATCGCGATCGCATGATGTACATGTAATAAGGACCAAATTCTCAGTTCTTTGAAGTTATTCTAAGTATTGTCAGTGCTTTGGTAAATACTAATAAGAATTCGATACAATCGTTATAATAGCCACTCTTCGTACACAGCATATTGTCAATCTCTCACCAGGGGGCGTATTACGCCAACAGTATACAAATCATAGGAAGCGCTTTGCTGAAGTTACCGTTGTCGATAGGTAGCGCCTTGTGGAAATTTCCGGTTTTGGTTGCAGAAGGATAAGGTTACGTGCCATAAAGCGATGTCGATAGGTAGCGCCTTATGGAAGTTTCCGGTTTTTGGAGCCCATGCCATAAAGCGGTTTGCTGAGCTAACCGCTTAAAAATTGACCAAATGTTAAAGCCTTTCAAAAGATGTTTTTCCCATGGCCTAATTATTCTTTTAGTTAATTTTTAATTTTCCAAAATTTTGTACATAAAAGGCCAGTAAAGTTTCATTCTTAATTGCCACATTAAAAAGTTTCTTGAATGTTGGTTTAAATTTTTTTTTTTTTTAAAAAAAATTTTTTTTTATTTTTAAAATTTTTTATAAGTTTGAAATTTGATCAATTCCTAGGAAGTATTTAAATATAAAAATTTAAATTAAAATTGTATTTGATATTATTTGACGTTAGCAATTAAATTAAATGGTGTTTGGCACTTTGATAGAAAGAAATCAGTGTAAGTTTAACACATATTGAGAAATAAACCTAAACTTTTATTCATGATTTAATTACATTTAATTTTAATATATTTTTAATTGCACTTTCTTTCAATCTTTAATCTAAAGAATATTGTGCGAGTTTTGGCAATACATTATTGCTTATCTGACTAATTTAGACTTCATTAAAATCAAACAATTACTTTTAACATTATTTTTTAAAGTCAATACATAAAACTTAAATCTGTTTATTTCCCCTAAAATGTGTTTAATTTACAAAGGAATTTTCAATTTAAAAAATGCAATTCGATTTAAAAAAAACTACTTCCGTAATCAAGAGGGACCTTTGTAGAAAATAACACCTAATTTCCCAAAACCTAAACCTTTTAAATTAATTCATTACAATCTTTTCATTCTTTTTTCGATTAGTTAAAACTTAAATATTTAAATTGTTT